ACAGAACTTGATTTAAATAAAATATAATAACAGAAAATAAAAAAATTAAATAAAGTGAAATAAATTGTTGTAAAATAAAACAGAAAAAAATGAAGAAAATATGAAATGGAATAAAATATAAAATAAAAATTAATGAAGAAGAGTACGTTGAAATATTGTAACAGATTTCTAAAATTCTTGTCAACGTTTAACTTTTGACTCATTTACCTTATAAATACGGCTATCCATTTCGCGATTTCGAAAATAAACGTAAATGAAGTTCGCCTGAGGTATTTAATTCGTAAAGTTCCTTTTTATTATTATAATGAGCCCAAAAAATACCCTTCATCCGCCCAACCGATAAGTGAGGCGGCATTCGCATAACGTACGGAATACGCCGAGTCATGATTAGTTAGCTGTTGTTAAACGTCGAGATTTAAAACTGTTCCGCTACTAAAAGCTAAAAAGTTAGTCTGAGAGATCGAAGGTGCCGGAATGAAAATTAAAATTGTGACACCAACAGCGAAAGAGTTCATTTAATTCATAATTTGTTTTAAATGACTTCAATAATAATGGCCTAAACTGCTAGATACACGCGTTGGCTAGTTAAAGTTGGCCTCAGACAAGAGCCTTGAACTACAAATTGATTCTTTAAGAAGTTTCGCTACGATTAATGCACCTATTATTTCTCTACTTGCGAAAGTCGTAGAAAGTGATTAATTACAAAAGGGTCTTCAAATTATTTTGCCCAGCTTCTGACAAAGGCAAAAACATTTGCACACTTGTTCCAGACTACAGTTAAGGAGACAGTTGAGCCAGTGTTCGTGATAAGCACATGCTTTTGTTCTTATGACGGTTCAAAATTATAACAATGACATGTACGCACCAAATAGTTAAATTGTCTAGATCGTTTAGTAACAAACGTCTTTCGTCGAATGGGGTATACTCGTATGACATAAAAAGCTTTAAATCATCGGCATATAGCAGGATGTTTGAATGCTTTATTACCGAAGCTATATCATTTATGAATAATAGAAACATCTCAGCCCGATGACTACTTTGAGGAAGTCCTAATGAGACATTAATCAATTGGATAAAGTGTATTTAAATATTACACGTTGTGGTCTATTGCAGAGATATGAGGAAACCCGTCGAATAAATTTTTTTTGAAAGCCCAGAAGATCTAGTTTATGACCCTATCGTCAGTTTGCTTATTATTTCTATAGGCTTTAGAGATGTGTGACACAAATTCAAGCAAATTTGTAAGTGTTTTTGATTTTCCTTTACAAAACCCGTCTTGGGAATTGGATTGTAGTGAGGAGATCGAAAATGTTATCTGGCTCGCAATGATTGTATCAAAAATCTTTGGTATGGCGGATATTTTTGCAACGTTTCCATAATTCTAAATATTAGACCTATAATCTACTCTCATGTGAGGGGGACTATAAAAGACTGCTTCCATATAGTAAGCAACACACATTGTTTGAGAGAGGAATTCAAAAGGTGAGTAAAATGAAAATATAGATTTTTGGGGAAATTTTAGTTTTCAGCTGCAGGCTTTCGTAAATACATTTTGTATGGATGGAAAGAGGAAAAAGCCTAGATTCTAAAACTACTTTTCTTTTCTCTTGCTCACTTATAGTTCTGTAATAATTCTATTTCAAATTTGTAGTAATAAAAGCAAAATTACGTCTATCTCGGTTCTGCCCAACTATTAAGTTAAATAATACTTTAGTATAGAGCCTGTTTTTTGTATTTTGGCTGTGCAACATTTTTTTGAAATTAAAATGTTTTTTATTTAAAAATTCAGAGTCAAGTGAAACTCATTTTTAAGTTGGCGGCCTTTGGCCTCTCTTTGGATTCAAGTGAAATACCTTAATGAAAAATATTGTTTTGTAAGTTGTTGCCGTACAGGGTAAAATAATATATATTATTATTATTAGTGTGCAGCCGTGTTTAGGTGAGCATTGGTTGTGATTGTAATAAAACTTGTAAATATTTATTTAAGTTACATTGCGCATTAATTTAAACCAAATAAGTGAAAATATTTAATCAAATCGAAGTAATATTTGTGCTTGTTGAACTAAAATAAAAGAATAGTGAATATATCATGGGATATATTTAATATTTTTGACAACAAACAACTTATAACTATAACATATATACATTCCAAAAGTTAAGATATTGGAAAACTGTATCTCTCTCATCATTCCCACGAAGTTTCATGTCAAAATTCCTGGTTGTTTGCCTGCAATATCAAGTGCGGTTGAAGACTAAAGCTCAGACAGATTTTTTGCGCAACTTTTCAGAAAGCATGGAATCATATCTGGATTATAACCAAAAGAATGTTTTAGATTCATCAAACAATATAAAATAATACCTCTTACTCAGAAATAATGTCGAGTTAAAGTAAGAACGCCAATTTATCGTAGAATCAAACCAACCAATTTTGGATGAGAATGGAATGCCCGGTCTTTTTCAAAAGGTGGCATCCATCCGAAAAACCAAAGCTGACCTACATGGTCCTGGTAACATATTGTATATAAAATCAGCCATTAAATTTTCTGAAGGTGTGAGGGAGATTTTTTTTGTCGAGTACGGACGCTGAGATCCTGTATCAATGCAAGTTCTTGTGAAAATTTTGTGATTTTTTAACGCTGAGACGAATAAAGAATTCTATAAAAATATGGGCAGAGGCTAATTGACTTCGTCGGGGTGTGAGTTTGAGTGGACTACATGTGGCTCCCGGCTTATGGCAGTCACATTTTGCTTTTTGTCATAAAACAAATACGAACATACTTTATTTTTCTCAAATGCACGAACCATTTGGTATGGATATAGTCCAGCGTGGACATGGCACTAAGATGTAGGGACCCATGCGGGTTAGGTGCTCAAGAATTTACCCGTGGGTAGGCATACCTGTCGTAAAAGGCGACTGAAACACATTAGTATCCATGACAGTCGGATCTTTACAACGCCAAGGACAGTCACTGACACAATATTTCCCGAAAACCGACTACAACAACAGCAACTGAAATGTGGTGGAAGTTATCCGAGAAAATGGAGTCGCGTGGGGTTGGACAGTGACAGATGCAGTGTTTGAAAGAATCTTCCAGTATTCCAGCACTGATGCAGATTGAGAGCAGTCCCAGAAAATTTCCATTTTTGAACCTCTTAGCGTCAAACGCTGGCTAATTAGTTGTAACGTTACTCGCAGTTTTATTACGCCATCTATTATGAGTATTTTGTGGTGGATCCCGATATTAGCATATATATTGGACAAAGCTTGATTAGGTAAGATAGTTTCTTCTCTCGCCAGGTCTTCCGCCGCACAGTTGCCTGGTACATCTCTATGATGTTAGCTTGACTGTCAGAATAAAGAATAGTCAAAGCTTTTAATTAAGTGTTAATTCAATATTATTTCGAGCTATTAAATTTGTGTGGAGAGAGAGCTCTCCATGCCATCGGCTAATGTCCACCACGCTATACTAATCCTTTTTCCATCCGTGTGTAACTCTCAGTGTTGTGCGATATATCTCCTTACGCTGTGAGGACGCTACTAGAATAGCGTGTTTACAGTGAGACAACATAACATTGGAAAAGGAAGACTTACTAGACATTTGGTGTGCTTTGTTTCCGGTGCTCTGTCCACCTCAGCAAAGATCCCGTCCCGTCCCGTCCGACTTCACGATTGTCACTACGAGTTCTTCAATACCCATTTCTTGAAGAGCACGTATAACGTCCTCAGAGAGTAATTGTTAAAACCTTCCTCTATATCTGGGAAATTTCCTAGCGAATATATCCTAAAGACAAGTCCCTTCTAATTAAAATCAACAGCGTCGCTCAGTGTTGTGTTGACGAATTAGTCCTTAGCTGTTGGAAAGCTGTTCAAGGGTATCTTATGCCGTATGAATATGTCAAGCACCAGGCTGATGAACTTTTGGACTTCTTATGAGCTTACGTGCTGAGCTCTTCCTCTTAGTAGGTTAAATGTTAATTTAATTGTGACAATAAGTGGTCTTTAACAAGCCAAGTATTCGGTTGGAAATATTTTCCGACAGATAAAACTGCTGATATCCAATATATGCCGATTTGCTCTATATTGAGGTTCAACTGGTTTTTCAGAATACCTTGAACAGTGACTGGTCATTCGGATACTTAATATTTCTCCATCACATTTGGTCCGATTACCCTTCTCCTCAGACCTTTTTGAAAGTTTTTAGACTGTTTTTGCATTATTCCCACGAGCTAGTTCTTTGGTGTTAATCTTCCCGAGATTGAAGAACTCAGTATACCATCTCCGTGTTTTTTCATTCCATATGGAATAGGTCGAAAGGTACAGTCACTGGCTTTGGTAAAAAAGTCTTCCCCTTTGTCAATTTTCAACGACAACCTAAACCCAACGAGGGAAAAGTTGTTGTATTAAATAAGTAGAACTTATAACGGAAAGTTTAGAAAGAATGGGGTTGGTGTTTGAATCTACAGCACAAGGAAATTCATCAATCTATTTGATTCTATATAAGCGATTCTTTGCCGGATGTACTCTCCTGCTCTCTGGGAACACGTACGGTATAGACAAAAATTAGTGATTTTCGAAAAAAAAAGTGGGCACGTTGGGGAATGTGAGTATATGCCGATGAGTAAGAGAATGTCGTTAATGTGTGTTTTGGATTGATTGGAGAAATAAAAGAGTGACTAAAGAGAATGGGTATAAAGCGCTTGAGAATTAACTTTGATTTACCAAAATGGGTTTTTGTTTTATGCTCTACAAAGATTTCCATGTGATCAAATTAAACCATTCCAAAAAAAAAAAAAAAAGATTTCACTAAAACACCCAGGCAGGAAATCTTGATACAATTCCGTTAATTCGTTAATTCGAAAATAAACGGTAGTTTAATTAAGCTAATAGCCTTTGGGTCAACATACAAAAAAAAAATCAGCGCGGAGCTTTTAACATAAACTTCCAAACACTTTCAGTTTTACTTCGTTCGCCTGCCGCAGAGCATAGCGTACGCATTAGCATGAGTTGGCGACGCCTCTTCTACCAGCCAGAGAGCACTTACGAAGCAAATGGTCTTTTCACCGCCATCCAATTCATTACTTGCTGCAACGGTTTCATTTATAGACGCGGCCATTTTATAGTAAACTTTTGGACTAAGCTATACACCATGCTGATGCCGTTCATCACCATACTCTCTTTAGGCCTTGGTATTCAACAATTGATCAACGATCCGGTGGAGAGTGCCCGTTTCGAAGAAACGGACCAGCTGTGGCTCGCTGTCTGTGTGCTAGAAATGATCATGGCTACCGTCGCCTACGTGCTCATCGTATACTCAATGGTGAAGCATACACGAGACCATGTTGAACTCTATGATCGCATCAGTGCATTGGATCGGCTGTTGCTGCGTGATTTTGGCGTAAATTTGAAATATCACAAGTTAATGCGTAAGAATTTAATTGAGTATGTCATATTATCGATTGTGTACTGTGTAGCGCTTTGCTGGACATTGTTCATGGTGAAACCAAACAAAATGGCACATGCTTGCGGCATGGCCTATGCCTATTTGGCCATGACTGCCGGTCCGCATTGCTCTAGCTATTTACAGGTGAATTTTGCCGCAATGCTGCGTATCCGCTTTCGTTTGTTGCAAAAGTTGCTCGACGAGAAATTTCTGTTGGCGAAATTTCCGCAATCCGGTTTGCGGGAAGTGCGCCTGTTGAAACTGGTGGATGTGGTGCGTGCGTTTCATGAGCTAATCGATGCCATAAATGATGTGTATCGTGTTACTTTGACCGTGGGTTTAGCGCACGACTTCACCTTGGTGACCATTATACTGTATATGTTGTTTGGACATTCGATGGGCGAGGCTGTTGATGGCGTATTCTTTGCATTCGGTGGCATGTGGCTCGCTGTGCCGTTGCACAAATTCTTAACGGCGCCCGTCTACTGCAATAGGGCGATTGAAGAGGTGAGTTCATCGCACTTGGTAGCAGTTTTTTGTTGGAAATTCCGTTCCGATTTTTTTGCTTCTCTTTTTACTCTTTTTGTTTTATTTTCCTCTGTGGGTTTGCAGGGAAAACGTTGCTTGCGTTTAATAGAGAAAATTGACATTTGCTTTCCCAACTTCAAGTCAGCCAAACGAATTGTGACTGCGACAATGCATTGGCGCCTGGAAAATAAAATTCAGTTCACTTGCGGATTCAATATGATTTATAACAAAACCATTATCACAACGGTGAGTGGAGAGGCAACAAAAAATACACGAAAAATGCCGATTTCATTTGGCAAATTTATGAAAGTTTTTGCTTTTTTTTCTGCTGCCATTTTTTTTTTGCAGATAACGGCTGTTGTCTTCAATTATCTACTCATACTCATACAATTCCGGATGACCCAATTAATGGGCAAACAAATTGAGGAACAAAAAAACATATTGCAGGATTGGATTGGCGATTTATAGGGCAAAAAAGTCATAGGCAAACAAAAAAAAACTATAAAAAGTTAAAATTACACTGGTCAACAAATCTACGTACAAAACAAAGATTGTAATATTTTTAATAAATAATGCAATAGAATATATACATATATATAAATAATAGAATATAAATATATACATATATGTATATATAATTCGCGCTTTGCAACCGCTGATGCTGTTTTCGGCCGATCTCCTCCTCCAATTTACGGTTTTGCGTTTTGATATTTTTCCAACAAATGGAGGGACCTACAGTTTATACTAAGCTGTCTCCGAATGGTTAATGGGTTTTTTACGAGAAGCCTTTATTTCATGTCAGAAATACACTCGAGGGGATTGAAATCCCATGTCGTGAGCATAAAAGTTATAAGCGATATTAAGGAAGCTTATCCCACGTATATTCTGTGATAAGTCTGAAGCCCAAAGTCAGCAAACTCCATGAATCTTATCAATGTGGACTTAGACCTGGTAAGTCAATCACTGACCAGATATTAACCGTGCGCCAAATATTGGAAGAGACCAATGAAAAGATAATTGACACACATCACTTCCTCTTCGTCGATTTTCGACAGCACGAATAGGAGCTGCCTCTATGCCGCTATGCCGAATTTGGTATCCCCGCATAACTTATACGGCTTAGTAAACTGATGATAGACAACACCAGGAGCGCAGTGAGAATTGGTAAGGACCTCTCCTCGGCGGTTAATGCCAAACAAGGTTTCAGACAGGGTGACTCTTTGTCGTGTGACCTTCATTTCGATGCTGGAGCGAATAATAAGAGCTACTGAGCAAGTACAATCTCCTATAAGAGGGTACAACTACTGCGCCGTAAGTTCTGCTTTCTCAAGACTGCGTAAGTAAGATATGGGTTTGAGCGTAAACGAGGGCAAGATAAATTATCTTCTGTCATCAAATAAACTCTCATCGCTTTCGCGACTCGGCTCCCCAGTCACTGCTGACAGTCATAAATAACTTCGTCTATCTTGGAATCAGTATTAACACCAATAACAAGGTCTGCCTGGAAATCTAACACAGAATCACTTTTGCCATCAGGTGTTTATTTGGGCGGAGTAAGCAACTAAAAAGAAAAGCATTCTCGCTCAACAAATGACAACCAAACTCTACAAGTCGCTCATCTTTCTGATTGTACAATATGGTGCGTAGGCACGGACGATGTCAACATCTGATGAGTCGGCGTTAGCAGTTTTTGAGAGAAAGGTTTTGCGTAAGATTTGTGGTTCTCTACTTGTTGGGAGCGGCTAATACCGCAGCCGTTGGAATAATGAGCTGTATGAATTATATGGTGACTATAATATTGTTCAGGCGATCAAGAAACAGCGTCTGCGCTTACGAAGTCTTGTGGTCAAAAGGATATTAATACTTCAGCTTTGAAAGTTTTCGCTGCAGTATCCACCGGTGGAAGCAGAGAAAGGGGAAGACCAGGTAGAGTGGAACTTGGCTGTGATTGGTATCCCCGATTGGTGGTAAGCGGTGACTATGCCAGCAAAGAAAGGGAAGAACATAAAATTTTTTTTATTTCGCTCGAAAAATTTGAAACCTACTGCATGTTAGATGGAAGGTAAATACTGATTAGTGCCTTGAGGCACTTTTGGCGCTCCATTATACTTAGTATGTGGAGTCCTCACATGAAGTGGAAATATGTAACTTGATGGGGAAATACAACAAGAATGGCTGTTTATTCTCAATCACGAATATAATGTTCACATGGGCGGCATTAGCTGGATGGATAGACTAATGAATGCTATTACATAAGAGCTGGAACTCGGGATGTTGCGAAATGTATTTTTTTAACATTTGATAAATATGACAACAACAGACGCTTTTATTATAGAAAAGGAGAACCCGAGAGAGAGCAATTGCTCGAACTCACGAATTTTCGCGTATCAATTGAAGCAGGTCTGGTGAGACTTTGAAAAAAAAAATTACCAAGTCATTCAATCAACAAGAACCATTTTCACAGTCTATGCGTAGGAAAACGCGATTTTTACATATATATTATATTCAAGTAAAAATAATCCATTGTTTTTCAAATGGATCTCTTTGTGGTCTGTATTTTGCATACCATCAATGCGCTTGTGGTAAGCTAAATATTGTTGGAACGATAATATTTTGTACTAAGAGTCTGACCGGTCTAAACCGGTCCTCCATGAGACTAACAACCATCATAATAACCGGGCTCTAAGTTATGGTGTCTAATGGGGGAAGGATGTGCTGCTTCTCAATTGACTTCTGCCGCAGCAGCAGGAGCATTGATGAGGAGAAATCAGTGGAAACCTAACCCTCTCTTTGCCCAGCTCTTTGAGCAGTCAGTTATTGTTTTCTCGGAGGTTTTTTCTTCAATTTGCTTGCACAGATTGCATCGATAGGCGTCATTAACCTCCTGAATTTCATAAAATACAACAAGTGGTTTTAAAATTTGGTAATGTGAAAGAAATCACTTTATCCGGATCGATTTAAGCGCTAAGTGCGCTTGCTAACTAACCAACTAACTATTTAATTATGGTAAATAAAGACTTCAATCTTAAGCAAAAATATTAGATCACTTTTTATTAGAACTTAAAACTATCCAAAGCACTTTTTTTTGGATAACTCGAAAACGGATACGTTTCTGGGAAGGTTTGTCACTATTTTAAAACTAAAATGAATTCATTAAAAAAGTTTCAAAAAATCTTCAGTGAGTGATAATTTGAGAGAGAATATTCTTGAACTTGAAGTAGAAAACACATTTTCATTTCCAGTAAGAGTTGCCACTTAGTTTAGAAATGAACTTTAAGTCTTTTCTAAAAATTTCATCTTCAACCAGAGTAAAGAAATTGTATTGTTCAACAGTGTTAACAACCGAAAGCATATCCCCTTCTTAATGTGTATAAAAAACGTTTAAAATTTGCAGAGCTCCATTTCATATTTAATATCTACGAGTGTGTGTTTTCAGCAAAACGTATTAGCAGCAGTTAGCTGGCGATTGCCTGAAACTTTGTTAAAAAAAAAACCTTCTAAACTTTTTCTACAGTTTTCAATGTGCAATTGGCTTTTAGGAAAGCAGTTTTTAATGATGAGAATTTCATTTTGAAAAAGTGGCAGGAACGCTTATGTTTTATTCCAATTAACTTCTTACCTACACATGCCTCTGAGGACACTACAACTATTTTGCTTAGATGGAAACTTCGGCCTCACACATGGGCTTGCCTGCGGGCTGGATGAATGAATGAGAATTTTTCACTTTGATATTTTCTTAGAATCACTTCAATTCAAAATTATACAGATTTATATTAAACAAATATGTTTTACGTTGAAATTGTTTCCATCATTTTGGAGTACTGCACTCCTTACAGAAAGACTAAAGCTTGAAATTTCCTATAGTTAACATATCCATCAACTAGCTAAACTTATCTCTATATATGAATTAGTGTCTTGCATTTTTGGTAAACTTTTAGTATTTATTAAAAATTTGATTGAGTTTTGCTGACTGAAGTCCTGTTTATTCTATCTTGAGTCCTCTGGGGAGTGCTCGATTGCGCTCATTTTCACTCCGCGTTCATCAGGGGCATTTCATCTTATTTGGTCCTGTGTCTATTGGTTTATGAGATATACTTTTGACCCACCTAAAGTGCTTGTTCATTCGTCACAATCTTCATATAAAATATTACTGAATTATCGCGATATCCTACTTTTCAATATTACCGTTATGCGGTAGCCGAGTGAGAACCGGTTTCAATTTCACTTATTAATAATAGCAACCGTCCTTTTTAACTAAGAATCAAAATTGCATCAAAATATCGGCCGACAAACGTACAGAAATAAATAATCGCTCAATCGATTCGTCTCGTCATTCCATTATGATTGATTTATACTCGGATATTTATGGCCATATGTACCTCGATTACTTTATTCTTGTTAGCCGAACAAATTTAATACATATGCCATTCGCAGCACAGTCCAACGAAAAAAAATTGTATGACATTTTATGAGATTTTATGAAAAAAAAAAATTTTAAAACAAGTGCTGTATTGTAATCCGCTTTGGAAATATATGTATATAGAGGTGGCCTTAAATAATGATGCATAAGCTGTTCTTCCGTTAAGTTTAGAAATCTTACATTTGAACTTTAAATATCAGCAATATCTTTGAAAAATATTAAAATTAAGAGAATAGTTATTTTAGTGACGTCAAAGTCGACGGTTTCTGGTAAACGAAAGCAAGTCACTTTCGTTTCCAAATAAAAACTCCTACATTCAGCAGTGAAAAACTGGCAGTTACTTCAGTTACGTCAGTTTGGTGCTTTAAGCTAAAAATCCAATAGATATTATTTTCTCTGGATAGTTTTCTTGGTAATTAAGTCACCAACCATCCCCAACAGCACGCCATTTTGAGAGGAATCCCAAATCAATTTGATTCGAAATAATGTACTTGTGGCACTCTTTTACTCCATTCGTCAGACTGAAGGAGTTGTAAACAATGTAGTGATTATTATTGTTTAGGTACAAAAAATTTAAATAGTGCAGGTCTAACAAACTAACACTTTTATACTTCTAAAAAAGAGAAATAATAACAAATTTTCGGTTCAAACTTCAAAGGGAAATTAAAATTAACAAAAGTAAAAAAATAGTCATAATTCACAGAAATAGCATTAAAATTCTCAGAATATTTCTTTTTTCCTACTATTCCTCTTTTCACAAGAAGGCCGGTACCCAGTGAAGACATCATAAGTGGATCGGGGGTACCAGACAACCCGGCGGAAGGAGTCCGCGCCAGCTCAGACGCTGAAAGTGAAACGCTCAAAGTATCTGAATACGTTGGTACGTTGGACCCTACACCGAAAGTATCGACGAAGCAGTCATAACTTTCCCCGAAGAAGAGCAGACGAAGTGTAAGTGGATGGTGTAGATACTTTAGCTTAATTCTGCAATATTCCAAGACAGCATAAGCTGCCTTTTTTCTGCGCTTGTGTGAGAAGTCGGAGGACA